TATGTTCTCCAATTCCACATTCCATAGCATGGCATTTATTCACATTAAATTCCATTTGCCAAGTGTTGCTCCATATACTTATTTTGTCCAGGTCTTCTTGAAGAGCATGCCAATCATCTAGGTTTCTTATCTTCCCTATTATCTTAGCATCATCAGCAAACATATTCATATAATTCTGTATTCCCACTGGTAGATCGTTTATGTAGACAATGAACATTACTGGTGCAAGAACTGAACCCTGTGGTACTCCACTTGTGACATTCCTCCAATCCGACACATTGCCTCTGATTACGGCCCTCATTTTTCTGTCAGTTAGGAAATTTTTCATCCATGTTAGAAGCTTACCTGTCACCCCTCCAATATGTTCCAGTTTCCAGAACCTCTTATAAGGAACTCTGTCGAAAGCCTGTTTTAGGTCCAAATAGATGCAGTCAACCCAACCATCTCTTTCCTGTAAAATCTCTGTGGCTCGATCATAAAAACTAAGTAAGTTCGTTACACAGGATCTTCCAGATCGAAAGCCATACTTTATGTCTGATATTATATCGTTTTTCTCCAGGTGTTCTACCCATTTAGTTTTAATTATTTTTTCCAATATTTTGACTATTACACTTGTCAATGATACAGGTCTATAATTAAGGGGGTCTTCCCTGCTGCCACTTTTGTAGATTGGAACTATGTTAGCCATTTTTCACACATCAGCTACAACTCCTGTAAACAGGGATGCCTGAAAATCAGTTGAAGAGGAATGCTGAGCTCAGATGCACATTCTCTCAGAACCCATGGTGAAACTCCATCCGGACCAACTGCTTTGTTCTTACGTAGCTCATTGAACATTTTTTCCACTTCGTCTCTAGACACCTCTATGTGCTCTATGTTGTTCTCTGGAATTCTTATTGTGTCTGGTTCCCTGAAGATTTCATTTTGTACAAACTCACTTTGGGACTTTTCGTTTAGTGTTTTACACATTTCCTTTTCATTTTCTGTGAATCTATTTCCCATTTTCAACCTCTGAATATTATCCATTACCTGCAATTTGTTGTTTATGAATTTATAGAATAAACCTGGTTCTGTTTTACATTTGTCTGCAATCCCTTTTTCAAAATTTCTTTCTGCCTCTCTCCTCACTATCGTGTAGTTGTTTCTCACATCTTTGTATCGCTGGTATGTTTGGGGGGTTGGCCTCTTCCTGTATTGATTCCATTTTTGTATCTTTTGGTCTCTGGCCCTCTCGCAATTTCTGTTGAACCAATCCTGTTTCCTAGTTCTGCATCTCTGTTTTGGTATAAATTTTTTGTGCCTTTATCATATATTTCACAAAACTTGACATACATCTCATTCACTTCCTTCCCTAGCAACAAGTCTGTCCAATTATACTCACTAAAAAAATTTCTAAGGTCACCACCTCTCCTGAAGTCAGGTTTTTCAACTGCTTCAACCTCCTTATTTTCTTCCAGATTATAACGCATTGCATACTTTATTCCCAAAAAGACATGGTCACTTTTACCCAAGGGAGGAAGGTACTGAATGTCAAATATCTCTTCCTCCTTCCTGGTAAATATCAAATCTAGCATGGAGGGAACGTCCCTTTCCCTCATCCTCGTAGCTTGTTTAACATGTTGATACAAGAATGTTTCCAGGATGAGGTCTACAAATCTACAGGTCCAAAAATCTACTGTTTTAGCTTCATATACTTCCCAGTCTATGGATTTCAAGTTGAAGTCACCGACTATCTACAGTCGTGATCTATCGTTATCCGCTCTCGCTATAATCTCTCTCATTATTGTTATAAGACCTTCTCGTTTACTATCTAGCTCCTCCTTGAATGATTCTTCTTGGATGAATGGCCATCTTGAATGTTCTTCTCTGCACTGGAAACACTAAGGCATCTTTTTCACTTCCCTTGGCACATTCCTGTTATCTCGCCTATTTTTCAAAAGCACTATACCTTTATGTTCTCTGGGACACCACTCACTATCATCAACCTGTACTACAATACTTAGAATTGTTGAAATATGCTGGAGCTCCTCTGATGCAAGTGTTGACCCTAGGGGTGTCACCTTTTGAATGTCAAATGTATCTTGGTTATCGTGAGGTTATCTTGAGATGATTTCGGGGCTTCTTTAGTGTCCCCGCGGCCCGGTCCTCGACCAGGCCTCCACCCCCAGGAAGCAGCCCGTGACAACTGACTAACACCCAGGTACCTATTTTACTGCTAGGTAACAGGGGCATAGGGTGAAAGAAACTCTGCCCATTATTTCTCGCCGGCGCCTGGGATCGAACCCAGGACCACAGGATCACAAGTCCAGCGTGCTGTCCGCTCGGCCGACCGGCTCGACCGGTATGTCGATATAGGTGATCCAACATTCATGTAATCACAATACCATTTCAGCTTATGTACACAAAGTTATTATTATTGTGAAAACTCTTTGAATGCGAAGGTTTCTTAGAACGCAGACCTTATTTTGTGTAACATTTATGGCTGAAGAAAGGTTTTTGCAATACTCGCATGTATTGGTAGATATCGAGAATTTTTGCTGCGTCTATTGTTGGAGACTAAGTTTCTTAATTGGTATACATATATTGTTGCTATTAGGACAATATCCAATTCTGGCCCCAGACATCACTCGGTACCCCTACTTAAATCTCTGAATATGTTAGACATTAAGTCACTGCACATTCTCTCATGTGTATTATACATATATAAAACGCTAAACTATAATGCCAATCCTGATCTCAAAAGCTTCATAGAAGGTTGTATCAGAACCCATGAGCATCACACCAGAAATAAATACAGTTTTGATATTCCTAGAGTACGACTTAATCAAACTAGAAATGCTCTACAAATCAAGGGGCCCAGAATGTGGAATGACCTTCCCAACCATGTTAAAGACTGTACCTCTCTCAACCAGTTTAAGTTAAAAGCGAAGCTATACCTAATAAATTCCCTGTAACCTACCTTACCCTTCTATTGTCAACCAATGTCTGTTTTTTTCTTTAAAGAGCGCTGTTTGTCGACATAATTGTATTTGTGCTGCTTTTTCATCTATGTTTTCATTTCTTGTTTTCATTCTACTCATTATGTTCAATTAGTATTAAGCTTGTCATTTAAGTTTATCATGCCCGAAACGCTTTGCGTAATAGTGGCTTTAGGCATTGTATGTACTAGCTCTACCTATAAGTTAAACAATCCTTGTAAATATTTATTGTATGTATGTACCTTACCTAAATAAAATTGTATTGTATTGTATTGTATTGTATTGTTGCAAGTGATTTCTTACAACACATATTGGATGCGAAACCTTCTCGCAACACGTGTTATTAGATATGAAGCATTTTTGCAACTCGTGTATATTGTTGGATACGAAACTTTCTTGCCGCACGTCCAAATGCATTGTTGAATATGAAACTTCCTTGCAACACACACGTATTAAGTAACGTAAGTGTAGCAAACATATTATTATAAACGAATTATTGTTATATGTTAGTGACAAGGTCAGCCTTCCTGTATCTTATTCATAACATTTTAGTATCAAACCTTACACAAACTATCCATACACAGCTGAAAATATAGACTGTAAGTGGTGATTTAAGCGAAGTTATACTCCTTTGAGTGTATTAAGAGAAGTAGTTATTTATGTTCAACTGCGCTTGAATGTGTTTGAGCCCTGTTAATTGTTTCAATAAATGGGTTTTGTCCCGTTATATCAGTTTACCTGAGGGACCACAATCTCTTTTTATGGCTTCGACGGCGACAGGAAGCCAGCGGCTTGTCAGTGTTTTGAGTCATATCTTGTATAAATAATTTACGGATTTTAGCCCCGTTGCATTAATTACATGATTTTGAACCCCGTTATATCAATAACAAAGTCTTTTAGTCCAGTAGTATCAATAACAGGGCTTTGATTCCTGTAATTGTATCAATAATATGGGTGCTTCTACCCGGATCTTGGGTACATATCCAGGACATTCTTCGTTATTTATTAATTAATGTATTATACATTATATAACGTTATTTATTAATTAATGTATTATATCACATGAGACCATAAGACATGGCAGGATGTGCAGAATACCCCCGTTGAAAAACAGAGGTGCAACAGGTACTCTGAGAGAGAACTCTATCAACATCAGAGGTCCGAGACTGTTCAACACGCTTCCACTACACATAAGGGGCATAACTGGCCGACCCCTCACAGTGTTCAAGAGAGAACTGGATAAGCACCTCCAAAGGATACCTGATCAACCAGGCTGTGACTCATACGTCAGGCTGCGAGCAGCCGCGTTCAACAGCCTTGTTGATCAGTCCGGCAACCAGGAGGCCTAGTCGACGACCGGGCCGCGGGGACGCTAAGCCCCGGAAGCACCTCAAGGTAACCTCAAGGTAAGGTATATATGTACAAGCATGCATAATGGGTTGTAAGAAAACATACGATTAAGTGAAACATCGTTGGAAAGCGACTAACACGTATATATTATTAAACATCCGGTTAGTGAGTCCGGTGGTCTTGTGCGAGGCTAGGAACCTACATGACGTCCTCCGCTAAGAATCTAACGTTCGAAGCCTCATCACAGCCACACAACGCCATTAACAACCCAATGATTCGGGCCCCTCCTACTGGAATGGTGTTGTCTGAGAAGATGATACTTATTGTTTTAGCCTAACATGTGTAGTTTAGGTTAGGTGTTAAATTTTACTTAATTTTCAGTATACACACTGGATTTAAGTCAGGGCTAACATATATAGTATGATAAGGTATCAGTAAGTAGGCTAAAGATATGGCCTAAGAGAGTGAAGGCGAAATATTTATTTTCTGTAGGCTATTACATAATAGCAAACTTCCAATAGCCTGAGATCAAATAATAACTACTCTTAATAAGAAATAATGTTGTTTTATTATCCCGTAGAAAGTATTACACCATCAGAGAGAGTAGCCGACGCAGTTCATACCCGGCTCTAAGTACTGGTGGTGTGATAAGATTACTCGATAAGCAAGGAACAAGCGAGTCAGTGACGACTGTTCACATAACCAGTCACCCTTCTCCCACAACATCGAGCGCAGATTTCATCGGTGTCCGTAAATTTCTTCAACATAAAGCGATGTATTTCATCAAAAAGTGAAACGACAAGAGTCCTGAAAGTTGTGTTTTTGTGTGGAAGTAGAGATTAACCCGTGCCTCTTGGGCTGTGTGTGTGGCTGCTACTCCCCGTGCTGGACGGTGTCTGAGGGCCGGCGGTGACTATAGTGTGGTGCCGGAGAATGTGTCGAGGATGGAGCCTGGTGCTGGCGCTGCTGCTGCTGGTGTCTGCTGCCTCCGCCGCTCAAGACAAGGAAGATGAAGCGGCGAGACAACGGCAGGAGAATCTCGCCAAGTTGGCCAGGATTATGGAAATGGAAGGAGCGTACGGTAGGTTGCCATGTTGTGATCCAGGGGACTGGAGGCAAGGAGGTATGGTAGTATTGCAGTAACATCTGTATGATAATAGTAGCCATAATAATTCCTGAATTTACCTGAGGGCCACTAATAATAGGGGCCTCGAAAAGGACAGGAAGTTGGCGGCTTGTCAAAGATCTCCCAATTTTCCCTGATGATCTTTTCCAGTTGTATATTAAAACCCAACAGTTTTGGCATTTACGGCTTCGGCGGGTAGGCGGTACCATGGGTACCATGGCGATGCCAGCAATAACTAATTCGTTTTGTCCGGGACAGGAAGCGTGTATATATATACACGTTGCTTGGATTGGTCGGTACAGCAGGAGCCTCGCTTCGTGCAGGTAGTAGATGTAGAAGTAAATACGTAGTAACCGTAGTATTGATATAGGAGTATATAGTCAAACTGGTTTGGCGCTTTCTCCTCATAATTACCTTACCTTGGTATAGGCGTAACTGTAGTGGTATGTCATTAGCAGTCGTAGTTACATGCAACTGTTATAGTTGTATGGTGGTAATAGTTATATAGTAATAATAGCTGTATAGTAGTAATAGCTGTATAGTAGTAATAGTTATATAGTAATAATAGCTATATAGTAGTAATAGCTATATAGTAGTAATAGCTGTATAGTAGTAATAGTTATATAGTAATAATAGCTATATAGTAGTAATAGCTATATAGTAGTAATAGCTGTATAGTAATAATAGCTGTATAGTAGTAATAGCTATATAGTAATAATAGCTATATAGTAGTAATAGCTATATAGTAGTAATAGCTGTATAGTAGTAATAGCTATATAGTAGTAATAGCTATATAGTAGTAATAGCTGTATAGTAGTAATAGCTGTATAGTAGTAATAGCTATATAGTAATAATAGCTATATAGTAGTAATAGCTGTATAGCAGTAATAGCTGTATAGTAATAATAGCTATATAGTAGTAATAGCTATATAGTAGTAATAGCTGTATAGTAGTAATAGCTGTATAGTAATAATAGCTATATAGTAGTAATAGCTATATAGTAGTAATAGCTGTATAGTAGTAATAGCTATATAGTAGTAATAGCTGTATAGTAGTAATAGCTATATAGTAGTAATAGCTGTATAGTAGTAATAGCTATATAGTAATAATAGCTATATAGTAGTAATAGCTATATAGTAGTAATAGCTGTATAGTAGTAATAGCTATATAGTAGTAATAGCTATATAGTAGTAATAGCTATATAGTAGTAATAGCTGTATAGTAGTAATAGCTGTATAGTAGTAATAGCTATATAGTAATAATAGCTATATAGCAGTAATAGCTGTATAGTAATAATAGCTGTATAGTAGTAATAGCTATATAGTAATAATAGCTATATAGCAGTAATAGCTGTATAGTAATAATAGCTGTATAGTAGTAATAGCTATATAGTAATAATAGCTATATAGTAGTAATAGCTGTATAGTAATAATAGCTGTATAGTAGTAATAGCTATATAGTAATAATAGCTATATAGTAGTAATAGCTGTATAGTAATAATAGCTGTATAGTAGTAATAGCTATATAGTAATAATAGCTATATAGCAGTAATAGCTGTATAGTAATAATAGCTGTATAGTAGTAATAGCTATATAGTAATAATAGCTATATAGTAGTAATAGCTGTATAGTAGTAATAGCTATATAGTATAATAGCTATATAGCAGTAATAGCTGTATAGTAATAATAGCTGTATAGTAGTAATAGCTATATAGTAATAATAGCTATATAGCAGTAATAGCTGTATAGTAATAATAGCTGTATAGTAGTAATAGCTATATAGTAATAATAGCTATATAGTAGTAATAGCTGTATAGTAATAATAGCTGTATAGTAGTAATAGCTATATAGTAATAATAGCTATATAGCAGTAATAGCTGTATAGTAATAATAGCTATATAGTAGTAATAGCTGTATAGTAATAATAGCTATATAGTAGTAATAGCTGTATAGTAATAATATCTATTTAGGGAAGTTTAGGTCTTATATTTATCCTGCAGTTAAAAAAAAACGTTTCCAGTTTCTTCAGATTCAGTAATACAAAAGTCAACTTTGTGGTGGTCCATCACTACATACTGGTACTTCCCACCAAATGGTTACTGTGATCATTCTACGAGTATGGCTGAATAATAGCTATATAATAGTAATAGCTATGTTGTAATAAGGATCATAATGCTGAATAAGAAAATTAAAACTAATTTGTTGCAATTTACCGATATTAAGAGGGATACATTCTTAAAGATAGGAGATATAGCAATTAATTTAAAGTAGAAAATCATTAAGATGCATAGGATTTGAAAGACATCTACTTTAAACTAAATATTCATTAAAGTTATAGAAGTTTCCTATACCTCAGCATTGTATGTCAATTAAGTAACACTTGAAATTTAGTTTGTACCTGGATAGTGTTATTTTATAATAGCTTATGTCTCTGAAGTATAGACAATGGTTATTATTCCCTTATAACTTTGCTTTGACCTCTGTCTTAGCCAAGGGAAGATGTCTTGAAGGTTACTTGAAGGCTGCCGACTCCATAACAAGAGCTATGGCCGTAGCAGCTCTTGATAAGGAGTCGGCAGCCTTTAAGTAACCTTCAAGACATCTTCCCTAAGCTATCTAAGGGAAGATGTCTGAGCAAGGTTTGAGAGGAATAATAGCCATTTACTACACTTCAGAGACATAAGCAATTATAAAGTAACACTTCCCTTGGAAACAAATTTTGTTGTATAGTGTAATGATACCAATCGTCATTGTATTAATTGAAACGTAAATAATTTTTATATCAGTCGTTTTAATGTAATAAATACAAATATAAAATAAATACTACTCACAAACATTTATATAAAATTAAACAGTGGCTAGGCTTACTCTTCCGTTCATTCGTTCACACATGAAAGAGTATACTGTACTGTAATACTTTGAATACCGGTGTAGACGAAAGTATTAAGTAAAGTATTCGTAGTAGCATATAAGAAAAAGTAGTACATAAGAATAAAGGTAACTGCAGAAGGCCTATTGGCCCATACGAGGCAGGTCCTATTTATAACCAAAGTGACAGCAGAAGAGGATAATTGACTGGAATGTACCTCAATGGGGTCTTGAAGCCGACGGCTTGTCAAAGGTCCTCCTATTATTCTTGAGAATATTTTTCCAGCTGAATTTTGAAATGGAGCGTTGTCTTATATTTACGGCTTCAGCAGATAGGTGATTCCATTGGTGTATTACCCTATAGGTGAAAAGTTTCTCCCTTTTGTCTTGCACATTGTGGCTTGTTGAGCTGGAAGTTGTTGCCCATAGTTGGAGTTAAATGGATCTTATAAAGGAATGATTTTAGATTAATACTTTCCAATTGTTCAGAATGTTCAAGGTCTCGATGAAGGGAAGGGAACTATCAGGAGAAAGCGCCAAGACATTACGACTATATAGCACTGGGAAAGGGTCAGGATAAGGTTTTGGGATGGGACGGGGGGGAAGGAATGGTGCCCAACCACTTGGACGGTCAGGGATTGAACGCCGACCTGCATGAAGCGAGACCGTCGCTCTACCGTCCAGCCCAAGTGGTTGGTCTCGATGAGATGAACTGTGTGGTGTGTGGGCTGTAGTGGTGTTACTCCTCATGTCCTCAACCTTTCCCATATAAGAGTTAACTCAATTGTGAGATAAGTTTTAGCGTTCTGCGTAGAACTTTTTACAATTGAGTTTCGTCCTTTTGAAGGTTGAGACTCCATGCTTGGATGCATGCAGTAGGTGGGGGGGGGATGCAAAAAAGATTTAAACAGCTGAATCACCGCCTCTTTTGGCTTGACATATATTAATAGAAGTAATACAGTTGATTAATCAACAAAAGTGCAGAGATGAGACTAGTCCATTAATCATGCATAAAGTCCTTACAGGTGAATCGTCATCTACTCTTTTAAGTAGACGATCTTAATATTCTTAGTTTCTCTGCGTCGTTGTCAGCCCTTGTGCTCTTCACTATCAGATTAGTTTATGGCAAAATAACATTTGACTGAATGACTGCTTCCTGGGCAGGTAGAGACCAGCAGCAAATCACAATGAGTGTGAGAATACACCCAAGTCATTCAGTCAAATGTTGTCTTCACTATTTCTTCCATTCACTATTTAGCATACACAGGTCCCACATTTGATAACCATACAGATTGGTTCACTGTTAAATATTAAATAATTGTATTTCATTCACTGGACTATGCGTCTTCAGCCTCGCAATTATTTTATTAAATAATTGGACTTCCGATTAGGCGTCAAGACGACAAAATTCACTTATTGAGACATAAGTTCTTATTGTCAGGTCTTTATAGACCCTTAGCAAATAAATATTATGACCCAAATGCTTTCCTAAATATTTTGCAGAAGTATCTCTGCTTAATATTATTTTCAGATTTGTGTAGACTTATGTGCTTTTAAATCACTAAGACTACATCAGTAGCAAAAACAAAAGCACGGGTCTTATTACTGCGTTTGATCCTAACTCTATCACTCGTAGGTCAAGCACGTGATAAAGCAAAATACGACGAGAAGACCCAAGGACATGGCTCAAACAAAATATACAATGGTAGCCTAACAGTTTAGTTTAGTTCATTTATTATGCACCCCATACCCATCTTGTGGGGGGTAGTGGAAAGGGTTACAGAGGCACATAATGGGCTCAGGGACTGAACCCCACAATTCATTTAGCTAAGCAAGTTACAATCTTGATGAGCTAGTTACAAAATTCAATATAAGTCGTCACATCAACAATGGGTTCGAGATCGACCTCAAGTACAGGTTCTAAATTAAGCAACTGACATATGTGGAGAGCTAGTGTCACAATTGATATGTTTGTCCTGCACACCGCCCCCCATCCAGTGGGCAGCGGTGGATAGGTTACAATACCTAACAGCAGGTGACAATGCTCAGGTGTAGTATGCAGGGAGGCCTACTCAGAGACCGTACTCA